AAGAAAAGCTGGAAAGGAAAGGCACATACATCCAAAGGCAGGAAGGGGAAACTGACACCAACAATGATGACAGAGGCAGAGGATCTACACACAGGTGGGAGGAAAAGGGGAGACACGTACTTTTAGGTCTCAGGTCTGAGGCCTCAGGACCAACGCCTTCCTTGGGTAAGCCAAGAGGCTCCGTCACATCTGAGTCAGGAGGAGGGTAAGGCGGGGGCGGGGGGAGCACTAACTGGGGTGGGCCCCGCATAGCGCCTCCTCGGGGAGGCTTTTGTGGCACCTGCCGTCCAACACCTACGTGGAATCAACGGTTGTTACTTCAGTGGGTTAGACTGGAAGACATCTGACTTTCAACAGTCACTGCCCTCACCTATAGACTCCAAAGACAAGCACACTCACGCAATGACATTTCACACATGACTGTCCTCTGAGGCCGGTGAAGTAGTATCTACCCTCTGTGGTAGTTTGCTTTTGGCAAGCACAACTATTTACATGCTGGACTTTAACACTACTTTTAAAATCCCCCTAAACAGCTTTATCAAGTTAAAGACTTCTTTCATTCACTTCAGTCTTTTCAAAGTTACAAACTAATTTTTTTACCTTACTCTTGTTGCTTTTCTATGTCCACCGATCTATTAAGATCCGAATGCACTGGTATGGCACTATAGGATAAGCACTGGACCTTGAGGTTGGTTTGAACCTCAAGATCGGTGGTTCAGATTCACCAGCTGCTCCTTGGAAACCCTATACAGGGTTGTTATGAGTCGGAACCGACTCAACAGCACTCAACAACAACCACCACCATTAATTTTAGCTTATCTTTTAAACACAATTATATACTCAACCTCTCTCATTGCTTCAAGTAAGAGTTTAAAAACTTTGTTTTGAAAAAGTTCTTCAGGTCAGAGACAAAGTTAGGGAGAAGTGTGTCCTACCCCACTCTTGCCTGTGTGGTACTATGAGCTGCCTTATCTTTCATTTCTCCATACAACAGGGAGCCATCTACACTTTGACACGAAAATGTTGCTCTTTGGCAACATTTCAACATTAGTTTTGAAAAATCAATGACTTAACAAGTAATCTAGATATAACTATTCTAAACTCAAAATACTTTTTTTTAAAAGACATGCATTAATTCAAAAGAAAAACACAATATTTGATCTTTGAACAATTCAAAAATTGGGGGAATGGACCCCTTATCCGAGAGGAGCCCACCTCTGGAGAATTTATAGAAACTTAAATAGGGTTCCATCACAGTGAAGTACTAATGGCTACTGAGTGATAATTTTAAAAGTAACTTCTCAGAAGACTTTTTGCCCTCCACCCATCTACAGTCCTGATTTTCAGAAATTCATATTTTAGAAGTTTTCTTAAATGTGTATTTAAGAAAAGACTTCTTGAAATAAAAGTAAAATACCTATTTTAAAGGCAAATTTGATTCTACAGTACAGGGATAGATCACTAAACATCTATGATCCATTCTGTGGAAGGACGCTTTGGACATGGTACGAACACCGTATTCAGCATACTAAAACTTTACAGGAGACTGCTGCCACTTATCCTCGTTGCCGCTTCTGGAGCTACTGGCGGAGGCAGTGGGGAGGCAGCAGAGCATACCTTGTCTTGCCCACTGGCCCACCTGCCTAAGCAGTAGGAGCAGCTGACCTCTGCCTCCAGCCTGTATCCCACCTGTGGTCCAGTGCTGCATGAGTCTGGGTTGGAGGTCTTTAAAACCACTGTTGTTGTTGTGTGCCACTGAGTCATTTTCAACGCAGAATGACCCTGTATAGGGCATCAGAGAGTGGGTGGTGGGTTTAAACTGCCGACCTTGTGGTTCCAACTCTGGGTAGCGGTTGTGTATAAGGTTCCCAGGGGTGTAAATCTTTGTGGGAGCAGAAAGCCTCATTTTTCTTCTGAGGAGCCACTGGTGGTCTCAAACTGCCAATCTTGTGGTTCACAGTCCAGTGCTTATTCTACAGAGCTACTGCACTCCCCTTAAAACCACTGTCGTTGTTAAGTGCTGTCAGGTCAGTTCCGACTTATAGCGACCTTGTATATGGTTTCTAAGGTTTTAAATACTTGCAGGAGCTGAAAGTCTCATCCTTTTCTCAAGGAGTGGTTGGCACTCCTTGTGTCCACAGTGGCTTGAACTGTGGACCTTGTGGTTCACAGTCCAGTACTTATCTTATGGAGCCACGGATCTGCCCTTAAAACCATTAATGGGAAATAATAAAAGGAGAGCTGTTTTCCCATTTGAAAACAAAACAAAAACAAAACCACTACCAAAAACCCTCATGGAAACACAGTGTGCATGCAGTTGGACTTCTAGACAAATGTTAAATAATATATCGGGTGCTTATTTCTGAAATAATAAAGTTCTAGCCAGATGGTGGAAAAAAACCCATTCGCTGACTTTTAAGATAATAAATGATATACAGTGTCATAAGTTCTGGGTACTATTATTTATTTTAAAATCACTTTCTTCAAGTCCTAAAGTTTAGAATCTTCTAGTAAGTTATTAATTCTATGCTCCAAGCCCTTCATCATATAATTAACAAAAATATTAAGAAACCCCAGTTCTTCATCAAGAAACATATTCATTTATGTCTTCACTTGGTGACACTTCTCTAGACATAGAAAAATAGTAATTTTCCTAAATCTACATAGCAGTTTCTCCTTCAAAGTTGTATCTCCAAAGTGCACATAAGTGATAATCAACTTGGCTGAGTGCTGTTTGTTGGGTATAAGTAAATATCACACCTGAAAAGCATCCCCCCAGAGTAAGACTGATTTCCACATGATCATTTGAAGAACTTGAAGATCACTGAAGAACTTGGAGTCTTATTGTTATTTTTATAAAGAAATTTGGGTCAAGAGAAAATCCAGCCAGCTACAATACTATTTTACTACAAGTTCTGAAATAAAATTTTCTCTTCGTATCTATGTGGCTTAAGATGCCCAAGAGTCTTTGTGGATAGGGGCTACTTTTTTTTTCCCCCTTCTTCTTTAATCTAAAACCTAGACTTTGGTTAAAAGTAAGTTCTGCTTGTAGTGCCAGTGACATACTTTTAATTTTTAGGAGGTTTCAGATAGGGAAGGAAGTCTAATTGGCAATGCCTCCAAGACCTTTCTATAATCTTACTAAAAAAATATTTAGAATTATTGTCAGTAAGAAAGGAGCTTCTGGAATCCTCCAACCTCTCAAAATGTACTTTAGCATTAGAAAGAAGGACTGTGGTGAATGCCTACTATCTACACCTCCTCCTTCGAACATGTATTTTAGTGAAGTATCAAAAGAATTAGTCCTACAATTTACCACTAAAAAGAGAAAAATCTACATCCCTTCTTCTGTATGTCAGCAGGGATTCAGTCATTCACAAGTTGGACCAGGAGACCCTTCCCCAGGTTGAAATGAGCTGTTCTGACTTGGAGGTGTGGCAAGTCCACCATAGCAATATTGTCAGTTCAAGTGTACTTCCCAGAATTTTAACAAGAAATCTGAAAGCTTTACTCTTTCTGGGGGAAAAAAAGTAGGAGAAGAGTTGGGAAAGAAGAATGGGGGTCTCATTATAAAATAAGAGAATAGTGTGTTTCTTTAAAGGAGCTCTGGTAGCGTAGTGGTTACGAATCGGGCTGCGAACCTTAAGGTCAGCAGTTCGAAACTACCAGCTGTTC